TCATTTTAATGAAATTTTTCTTGTAACAGACCAAATTTCGAAAGAGCAGCATTTCCTGTGATGTTGTTAATTCTGTTTAGGCTCGTACATTCTGTAAAACTTCTGTGTTTTCAAAGGAGATATCTAAGTGATCTTTCAAGGCATACTGTCCTGGGAGTTATTGCTTGTTAATATGCCATTCTGGTTTACAGACACTTGACATTGCTTTAAAAATGTGCAACAAATGAAGGCTTTGGGTCGCAGGAAGGCTGCGCAGGGGCTGTTGGCAGCCCTCCATAATAGAAACGCTCTGTACGTAAACAGCCAGGGAAGCAGACTGGAATGCACTGTACCAACCGAGCATGTATATGTACGCACCTCCTACATTTCAGGGTTTCTTTTTGATCATTCAGGATGTATTGATGGAGGTTTTTAGAAAGAGTTGGGACAGAAACAATGCAATGAATTATTAAAGCCCCATTAGGGCCTATTTTCTGTTATTTTTATAGTGTAGTAGCAATAAGCATGATTTTTCATGGCTGTTCTTTACAGTGAACTTTTTGGGTACATGTATTCCTTATTACTATAATAAAGTTAGAGAAATTAAGCCTGCTTCCTAATAACAGCAGTTATTAATTGAATAGCTTTATTAATTTCTTTACTATAACTTATTTAATAAGGTAATAACAAGTTAATTTAAGAATAACTAATTAATTTAATAACGGGTTTTAATTCCAATTCCTGGGGTTTGTATGCGCCGAGCAGCTGCTAGATGTTTGGCAAAATGAGACCATGCCCCCACGTTCTAAGTTAAATACCTGAGGCAGAAAAAACATGAAAAGAAAAACAGATAAAAGATTACGGTAAAGAGGAAGAGATACATGTAAGTTTAAGTAAGAAATCAGAACAATTATTTTAATGGATTTCTATATTCAATATTTCCAGTACAGCAGCACCCGCGAACTCCAGCTTTGTTTTGGGGGAATATCTGTCATAAACTGTGGGGCTAAGAATGGCTATGGTGTTTAGGTTTCTGCCACTTTTATGTAGTAAACCTACAGTATGTGTGTGGAGAAAAGGACGTAATGCAATTTGAAATTGTAGTGATGATTAAACAGAAAGAAAGATTATAAGAGAAAAACACAGAATAGTTTCAAAGCCAGCATGAGTTACTTGTTCTTATAGTTATTTTAAAAGAATATCTTAAAAAATATGTCTGTTGTCACTGTAAAGAAGTTTTACTGCCTGAACGTTATCGATGTTAACTTGCTGATAGTTACTAAAAGCAAGACTGAGGGGTTTTTTTGAAGTAATGTTTTGGTGATTTATTGCATACGTTATTAAGAGCTGAAAGATCTGTTTTGTTTCCATTTATTTTCTAAATACGGACTTGGTTGTAAAAATACAAGGATGGAATTCTGCCTGAATTCAGTCTTTATTTTAACAATAATTTTAATTTTTGAGTTGGAGGACATGCTTTTCTTCTGTAGTCTTCTGGAAAATTTTATGTGGCAAGTAATTTTCATGTTCTTTTTACTTACCATTCAAATCTGCTTAAAAACTAGAAAAACCTAAAAATCTATCAAAGCCATAGTATACTTTCATTGGAGTAATGTTGTATTAGTATATGGAGCGACTTATTTCAGCTCATTTCTTATTTCAAAAGTATTGTGAAAAAATAGGGAAAATAAAAAGTATTAGAATGTATGCGTTTATTTTCTAAAGTAATTCTTGAGGTGCTGTAGTTGCATATAAATGTTACCATTTATGTGTGTGCTTATTACAGTTGTATAGAGAAGAAAGTTCACCTTAAACTCCTTCCTGTAAGCGTCAGCCCTTTGCACTACTTAAAAAGAAATTTGAAGTACATTTAATATTGCAGCATTTTTAGATCCAGATACTATCCTTAGTTTCTTGTGAATTACTGCTTGATATGTCGTATGTGAGATACAGCAGCATCGGACGGCAGATGGCTTTGAAATCTTTAATTTGATGTGGAAGGCAAAAGTGAAGCAGGAGCAATATGCCCTTGTGAATCACTGGGGGGAGGCTTCTGTCAGTTTAGTGCTCCATTTTCCTCTTTGGTTCACATTCATTTTTAATTACAGTAATCATTCTTTGGTACTGATACAGATCAATATAACTACATCTGCCAGGATGAACTGTAAGCCCTGGCTTGGAATCAACTTTTTTGTCTTCCAGGCAAGATTAAGTTTCCCTGCTTGTCTGGTGTAATCTCATGGAAAGGTAATTTTCCCTATCAGTTACCTGAGGGCTATGTTCCTGTTCTGGTTGTTTCTGTTCTTTTCAGTGGCTGATAAATATACACATTGTAAGGCTGTATTTTGTTCATAACGTCATCTGTGTGCAGCAAAAGTAACACATTCAGAGCTTCAACACATCAAAACAAACAGTATTTGAAAATGTTATATGAAGTGCAGAGTCTTTGGAGACAGCTAGTGCCCTGAAGTCTACTTTATACAAAAGAGATTAACACCATTATTCTATGTATAATCTCTCCAGCAAAACACTGTCGCCTATTTCTGTCAACAAATAGTTTCTTTGCTTTGGCAGCTGAAAGAAATTTTAGTTGTGTAGGCAACAGAACATGCCTTTGTAAGTTGCAGAACCCAATTTTAAAAATATTTTGGAAGGTAACTGCAGGTTTGAGAAGTTAAATTATTTTCATTACCTAAATATTTTTTTAGACAAGCTAAAAAGACATAATTATGTCTGCTACATGTGACACATAAGCCATGCATGAGGCAGGTTCACTGTTTTACAGCACACCTTTTGGAAAGGTGAGTCATGCACATCCCGCTGTTCCTTGCAGATGCTTACCTGATTAAAAGGTCGGCACATATCCTATCCAGATAACATGTGATTGAAGAGCACATTTGCTTTCTGAACAAAGGTGGAGATGAGCAGTGTTCTTACTGAGAGTCTACAAGTCCATCAAACTGTTGTATACCAAGGAAAAGAAGATAAAGAGGGCACGTAAAGGCTTTATATTTCTAGAAGCCTCAGATCAAATAATTTTGGAAAATTTTCAGGGAGGGGAAAGAAAAAAAAAAAGATAGATACCACAGCCTTTCACTGTGTAATGAATCACAGAAGCCATGTTTCTAATGGAATTGAGTTATATGTCATAGTCAACACGTGAAAGATGTTTTTTTATGTTAGCAAATATGTCAGCACACTTTTTCAAATCACCAAATTACATTACTAGCTAATTATTAAATTTTGAATAAAATTTTACTGTTTTCCCTGAGAAATTTTTAATGCAAAAATTAAAGCTAAGAAATACATACTTCAGTAAATATTGCATTTTATTTGATTTTCTGGTTTACAGCAAAAAATAAATGAGAAGTAAACAATTTGCCAAGTTTTGAATTTAGTAGCTACTCTGAATTTCTTTACCCTGATGAAAGACATGGTTCACAACTCCTGCTTGTAGAAAGTGAGATACCTCATGGGAGTGGGGCATTTGAACCCTGCTCATTTACATGGCAGGGTAAGTGCAGGTCTTGGGGCAGAATAAAATGGAATAGAATCGTTTAGGTTGGAAAAGACCTTTAAGATCATCAAGTCCAACCGTTAACCTAATGCTGCCATTCCACCACTAAACCATGTCCCTAAGCACCTCATCCACCTGTCTTTTAAATACCTCCAGGGGTGGGGACTCAACCACTTCCCTGGGCAGCCTGTTCCAATGCTTGACAACCCTTTCGGTGAAAAAATTTTTCCTAATGTCCAACCTAAACCTCTCCGGTGCAACTTGAGGCCATTTCCCTTCATCCTAAAGAAGTGGACGTGTGTGCAGATCCCCGTGCTGGGAGCCGCCTCCCTCCACAGTGACACGGCTGGGCATGTATGTGCCCGGTGCTCAGGGTGCCGGTGCCTCTGACATGCGGCGTGCACAGACTCTGCAGTTTATCATTTGACTGAGCACACATGTGCTTGCATCCTAGGGCTGGGTGTGATTTCTGCCGTGTTGATGGATAGCTGGTTTTTGCTTATATGCGGGGAAGGATAGCAACAAGAAACAAGCCATTAATCACAAAAAAAGGAGTCATTAAGCCACCACCTTATTTCTTGTGCACATCTGAGGACTGATGGGGAACAAACCCGTGAAAATTGTCTGAGCACCTGTCCTGGTAACAGTTATAATGACCTTTTCCTATGTTAATTTTTAGTTTGGTAGTTTACACTTTGTAATTACAAAGCACAGATCATTGAAACAAATTATTAATGTTAATCAGTAAGTCAGCATAGAAGAATGCAAAGAATCAAGTCTCTCCTTGTATACTGAATGAAAAGATTTCTTCCAGATTCTTGCTTTGATCGTTAGACTCTTTTAAATAAGCAAACATTACTTAGTTGCTAAGCCACAGACTGAAGTTCATTAGTGTGTTAGCACAAATATTGGAAAAAGAGTACTAAACCAATATTAGATAGAGGACCTGTGCGTAGGCTGGAAGTAATGCAATGAACGTGACACCAGAACATTTTGAAAGATTGCTCACAGTGATTAAAACCATTTCTGTTTGCAAAAACCCGCCCCACTCAGCAAGAAAAAGTGCAAAGCCTGAGTAGATCTGTTTTTCTGCTACTGATATCTGTAAGACTTTACTGAAAGTACAATAGATTTAATAGTCTTACAATTTTGTGTATGTTCTTTATTCTAAATGTCGGCCAGATGTATTGATGTGGCATTTTTTTTGTCTAATGGTGATCCGTAAAACTGGTTTTCATTAGAATGCTTTTAACCATAGATTGAAAGCCAGAATGCCGTCTTATTTAAATAGCCTGTTTGGGAACCCAACTCAAAATCTTCACAGATCTGTTTTGGATTCATAGATATTTCAGGTTTAATGCATAAATGCAGTGTTTTAACGCAGTGCCTTTTTGCAGAGGCTATTGAACTTTACAAGACATCATTCTAGGTTGGAATTTTTAGATGTTCGGTTTATTATCTTAAGCAAATGGACTAACAGTTCATGCTTTTGCATTCTTCACAGATCTTCAATACAGTGAGAGAAGAAGGAGCAGAAGATATTTTTGAATATTTTCCTCATCTTCTGAGAAAGCTCCCAACGTTTGATACAGACTGTCTCTGCAAAGGTGATGGTTTTTGTGTAAAACCATGTGTAACAGGTGCTTACTGTCAATATCGTGCCACTTTACAGAGGACTGCACTCTCTAACTATATAACTGGTGCTTTACTAGAAGCAACTACATCGTTAGGAGCAAGAAGTGGTCTTTTAAATATCTTCGGAGGATCAACTGGAAGAACAATGCTTAAAGGTAATGAAGACTTATTTTTTTGAACCCTGCCCACTTCAAGTATAGGGTGTATTGCAAAATATATAATACTATATAATACTCTGTAGCTTATATACTCATATACGAAGTTAACAGATAAAGAAGGCTTTTGTGTTTTCAAATACTTTCCTTTGCAATCATTATGTGTCACAATGACTAGCTATGTTAGTTCAGTAGAGTAAAAATGCATCCGAACCTGAAAAAATTCTTACTACAAACCAGACACCTTTTCAGGTTTTTTTTTTTCTTTGTAGAAATGTTCCTGTCTGTATCTGAAGTTAATGCCTAAGCCATTGTTGTTAGGGTGTCCCTTCGTATTTCTCATTTACCAAGTGCTCCTGCTCACGGGCTGACTTGGTTGAGGACTTGAGAAAGGCGTATATACTCTATTCAGTGATTATTGTTGTCATTATACAACTGGCTGTCAGCATAGCATGGCGTGGTAGGAGTGTACAATTCATTGCTGATTTATTGTTGGTCTTCGCCCCGATCCATCATCTTTCTAGTGTTGGATCATTTCCCATAACGTGGGTATTGTCTATGTGGAAAATGCGCGTTGGAGGATGGATGTTACGTGCTAACTTTCTATGCTGATCAGCCTCGTATGCAATAAGAATACTATTACGTGATTTAGTTTGGTCAGTTTGGGAAGTTAAATGGGACAATGGTGTTCTTGGTACAAATTCATTGCATTAAACCAGGGGTTTGTACACAATAGTAACTGCGTTTAAAATGCATTTTTAATTAATGCCTAGAATATTTCCTAAGGTCCTCAAGCATTTGGGGATTTGTCATCATCTGATAATACTGTAACAAAAGGATGTAGTGGCTCAATCGTACAGTTGTAGAATTGAAGCATGTGGATATTATGGCTTGCCCCAAATTTTACAGGAATATGACAAAATCAGTACAGAATTCTCATTGCAGTTCCTTAGCTAATGCAGATACTGACCTTATTTTTACAAACAACGATAAATTGTCGATGTGCTTGGATCAGGTTGTCTTATTTTTATCCCAAAGAGTGGCCCTTTGTAGTTTTAATTAGTCTCTCTTTAGGTTTTATCAAATGGCAGAGAGAGGCACTAAAGCAAGCTGTAGCATCTGAGTGAATTTCAGTAGCACGTTGAGCAACATTACTAAGCTTCACCTACCCTCATCATCTGTGAGAGACAGAGATGTACAGTACAGTGGCCTATTTTGGTAGGGCTTTTCCTTTTTATTTTGTTTGGTTTTTATTTGTTCTGGGGAGATGAGTGCTTTAGAAAAATAAATGTGTACATTCCTGTGACAGCTCTGGAGGGCAAGGTTAAAAGAACTGAGTCATGTACTTTGTGGTGCATTGTGGTGGATCTTCTTCCTACGGAGTGGGAGAAGAGAGCCCAGGGTTTTGATGCCCCAGACCTGATTGAGACTCCAAGGATGCTCTGTCCCCGGAGTACAAATGTCAGCCTCCAGTGGGGCATGTTGCTGCAGTGCCTGGAAAGCCCAGCTGGTGACTGTCACCATAGAGCTGCAGGCTCCGATGGAGCTCTGAAACTGGAAGCAGCAGCAGCAGTAATTAGTTCCGAGTCCAAGCAAGTGAGACCTTAAAGAAAAGGCAAAGATCTTGAGCTTGATTTGCAATTCCACAGGCAACCTGTGTAGATAGTAGAGATTTCATTTACTGTAGTGGTCTCTGTTGAGGAAGAGATGTGCTGCAGCTTTAGGATAATGAAGTTTGCTGGATGTGGAAGGTTCATATTCAGGTATATTAAGGTGATTAAATATATCTGAGAAATTACAAAGGTATCCGTAACAGAGTCCTCTCTAAAGACATTTACAGAGTGTTACTTGGCGATGTTATTAACCGAGACGTTTGTATTAGCAAGAAACCCAAGAGTATTCTGAATGCAGAATGCTGTAGTTATCATACATGGGTGTGTACCTTTCTTAAGAAAGAAAATCGTCCTGTCCATACAGATTGATAAAAAGGTTATCTTCATCTGTCCAACATCCTCTCTTTCTGCTGGATTTAACTTTAACCATAAGCTAATCTAATTTAAAACTGAGAACTTTTAGTTGACGTTGATAACAACTCTGTTGCCAAATGCAATGGAGGATTTATCAGAGGATATGCATGTCATCGGAACACCTCACTTAGTGGTTGCTTGGAGGTGTTGAAAAAGGAATATATTGATCCTGGTGGGGTTTAATAGTTGTGGTTTAACCCTGCTGCAACAAAGCCCCGCACAGCCGCTTGCTCACTCCCCCCCAGTGGAATGGGGGAGAGAATCAGAAGGGTAAAAGTGAAAAAACTCATGGGTTGAGGTAAAGACAATTTACAGGTAAAGCAAAAGCCGCACACACAAGCAAAGCAAAGCAAGGAATTAATTCCCTACTTCCCATCAGCAGGCAGGTGCTCAGCCATCTTCAGGAAAGCAGGGTTCCATCACACGTAATAGTGACTTTGGAGTGACGGCATTTGTCTTCCCAACATCCCCCCTGTCCTTCCCCCAGCTGAGCATGACATCATATGGTGTGGGATATCCCTTGGGTCAGTTGGGGTCAGCTGTCCCGGCTGTGCCCCCTCCCAGCTTCTTGGGCCCCCCCAGCCTCTCGCTGGTGAGGTGGGGTGAGGGGCAGAAAAGGCCTTTGCTCTGTGTCAGCCCTGCTCAGCAATAACCAAAACACCTCTGTGTTAACAACACTGTTTTCAGCACAAATCTGAAACATAGCTCCATACTAGCTGCTATGAAGAAAATGAACTCTATCCCAGCCAAAACCAGCATAGCTTCACTATACAGAGGTAGGCATGCCCAAAGGCAGCAATTATGTTGATGGCTTGAAATAAATAAAAGGAACCACTAGCAAATAAAATGTGAACACCAATAGCATCGACATAGGTGGAACTAGAATGCAGTTCAAAACCAAAAGATTATATAAATGTATATTAAAGTATCTTCAGAAGTAATTTGCAATGTTACGTGAGCATAAATAAAAGAACTGTTGAACTATCTAGTTACTGTTCTGCCACTCAGAATTTTGAACTCAGGTTTTCTTTGTGTCCTATAAATGTTGTAATACCTAAAACCGTTGTAAATAAAAGCTGAAAGAAGTGGTGAATTATTATGAAGTAAGGATAGTAAAACATCCCTGTGGTGGCTCCAGTTCAACAAATCTTTACCTTTTAAAGATGCGCTACATAAAGATGCTGTAGAAGACTTGCTGTATTGCATGTTACTACTTTGTGTTAGACCATGACAAATACTCTTGCGTTTAGAGTAAAACTTTATGCATCTGAGGCTCTGAACTGATGGTAAGTGACAATGCCATGACCTTCCTCTTCTTCCCGGGTTCTCGTTCCTAGAAACTGATTTCATTTCAAAAAATCCTGCAAAGGAGGGGAACAATAAGGGACAAAGTCACCTTGGCCTAGTATTGCCACTGAGTGCTTCATTTTGTCAAATCATGCCCTGAGTTAGAGATCTCTAAATTGCCTTAGACATTTGTGTGTATACATATGCATTTCAGTCCAATGAGTTAATAGGACAATAGGACAACATCAAAATGTTTACCTATGACATAGGCAAAATACAACTGTGTTTAAAACATGCTGTGATTAATATTTTAGTTTTTAATGCCTGTATACATTGTCACGTATTTTATTTAAACATATCATTATCTTTTATGCAGGCATTATGCAAATATATTCTTAAGCATAAGAGGATTCTATTTTTATTTGATAGATAATCCATATTTTTCAAGATAATTCTAATTTTATTTTGTAAAATGTTTGGGAGTAGGAGGGTTGTATATGTGCCTTACTCTGAAATTACCAGTGACAAATGATTTGAAGAAAAAAGTCTTTTAATAACGTATATGAAACAAGATTTAGTTTAAATGCTTTATCTTGCAAGTAAACATTAAAATCATAGGCTTCAGTTTACTTGTTTTTAAGACTTTTTTCCTTAAAAAAAATAAGTACATTTCTTTCTATTCCAAATTAGGAAAGGGCTTGGTCAAACCTTTTTTTCAGGATTGGGGAATATTGCCTACTGACCGTGTTCTTTTGGAAAGTTCTTTTCTGTGCTGTCACAAGAACATGACATGCTGGAGGAAGTAGAAACTAACAAATGGGTGACTGCACTGAAAGGAAAAGTTGAGTAATCCACCCATGCAATTTTTTTCAGTGAGGGTGGTAGCTCTCTTGAGAAAAAGTTTCCATCTGAACCTGAAAGGTAGGGTTTCTGTTCTACTTGTAAAAATAATTATCATAAACAAGTTAGCTAATCTTCAGTGTTTTATTATGGAATTCACTTATAGGCTCAATTTAGTCATGTTGTTAAATGCATGACTGTAAACTGTAAAATATCACTTAATGGGTGTGTGGCTAGGCGGCAGGTAGAGAGCCTGGTTGCTTCCCCTCATGCGTTTTGGTTTCGTGGGAACTGCATTTTCAGTCCCTTTTTTTTTTTTTTTTTTTGTTTTTTAACCTCAGTGGTACTCAATAGTTGCAAAGTGCTTCACTTACACAAACTTTTTACTTTTTTTTTTTCTGAAATTGTGCAAATATACACAAATGTCCCTATTATTTGTCTAGAGCATAACGACTTACTGTCCTACCTTATCCAAAACAGTCAGCAGAGCAGAAAGCTCTTTTCCTACCCTCTCATCCAGTCACTGAAGCCCTCACAGTAGCTGCTTGGAATGTGGTGTATGGACCTTTACTATCCAGACTGGGAACAGATGCTTTTTACAGAGGTGGGAGGCTCTTGGGGAAAGTGGTCAAAACTCTTCTCTTACCAATTAAAAAAAAAAGATGTAGTTTGTGCACCTGTGTTGGTCACTACTGCACCAGTATGAGGGAGAATTAAGTTTTTCTGGTAAGAAAGTCACAAGCCATTTAGAAAGTTACGGCTCAGACCAGTAACTGAAGCTCAGTCTGAAAGCAGTAGAAAACTGATGCACAGGGGACACTGGTGCACAGGTGGACTACTGAATTC